TTGAATCCCATGTCAGTTGCTGTGGAATTCTGTGACAAGGTGACTCACCCTGCTGTATGGGTAAGGTACTGAAAGTAGTTCATTTTCCATTAACTTTTTTGTAGTCCCCTTGTATTATAGATATTACTGTAGAAGCCAAGTGTCTAAAAACCATAATTTGTATTTTCTGCAACAGCACTATTTCTGTTTTGAGACCCTAGCAAATGTGGCAGAAACCCAATTTTTGTATTTCAGGGTATCCCTCATCTTTTCCCTAGAGTGTATCTGAGAGGCATTCTGTCTAGCTCTCTTGGTCCCCTCTCTTAGAACCATTGGGATCATTCTGCTCCATGTGTATTTATAAGTCCAAGGAGACTCTGAGAACCATCCTGAAGCCCTCTCCTCAGCCCGCTGTGTAATCATTCCGTTGCAAGGCTCACCTGAGGGTCTGCTAGGTAGCAGGAGACAGGGCTCCTTTGCCCTGGACCCTCTAATGCCCGTGCTGTCATCAGTTTTCACCTGCATTCCTGTCAGCGTGCAGAAGACATTTTTTAATGAGAAAGGGTAGAACTTAATCTCGAGAAATTTAAACAAAATAGTTTGTCATGCTATTTCCTCTCCAACCTATAAGGGCATAGTCTTTGGGAACACAAAAGCCAGGAAGAAATGTACACACTGTGTTTTGTGGCTGTTGTTTGATGCTGTCACAGCACTTTCTCAAGACAGTGACTGCACCCGTCCTACCCACTAGAATGGGAAGGAGGTGTGGTCAGAAAGAAAATATTCAGAAATTATTGTTTGATATTTGAAATGTTTTATACTGGCACGTGTGTTGTAGCAAGACTGCAAAGGTGCTCATATGACGTGTTATAGATCTTGGACTTTCTGCTGTGGGATGTCATTGGAGGTTCTTAATAGAAGTGATAGGATTTTATTTTTGCTTCCAAAGAGAAAATCTGGTGACAATACGAAGCTCTGAATGGAATAAAAAGGCCAGTTAGGAGAACATTGTTAATGCAGATGTAAGAAATGATGGAGATGGATACTGAACTAGAGCTGTGAAATATTGCTTTCCTTGACTGAAAATGAAGATTTTCTGCTGGGGCTTCTCAGATAGAATTGCTGGTCTAGAAAAATCCACCATGAAGACTGAGAAAATTTTCCCCCCAAAATGAGAATAATATATGAGAATTACTAGATACCATCAAATGTCCGAACATCTGGATAATGGGTATCCCAGAAGGCAAAGAAACTCATAAGGGCATTGATAATCTATTCCATGAAATTCTGCAAGAAAGCTTTCCAAACCTGGAGAGGCATTCAAAGCTCCATTCCCAAGAAATACAAAGGACCACAAATAGAATCAACCAAGAAGATCTTCTCCAAGACACATTATAGCCAGATTGACTAAACCACAGACAAAGACAAGATACTAAGATTGGCAAGAGAGGAACATCAAGTTATCTACAAAAGATATCCCATCAGGCTAACAGTGGACCTCTCATTGGAAACAATGCGAGTGAGGAAAGAATGGGAAAATATATTCAAAGTGTTAAGGGAAAAGCAATTTCAACCAAGAATACTGTATCCGGCGAGATTATCCTTCATACGGGAAGAAGAGACAAGAACATTCTCAAATAAACAAAACCTGAAAGAATTTACCAACACCAGACTAGATCTCCAAGAAGTTCTCAAGGGAGTGCTGTACCAGGAAAATTAAATACAGTCACACAGAAATAAGAGTTCAAAAACTATGAAAATGGCCAACGGAGATTTGAGGAAGGAGATTTGAATATCTCCGGATACAGATTTGGGAGTCACTGAAGTTATGGAAGTGGCGGAGATCACCATGCGAGTGTGCTTGGAATTCTGGGAAGTAGCAGTGTGTGGACAGGGAGAAGATGAGGAGCCAGTGAGACTAAGGTAGAGGAACAAGAATGATGGGAGGACCAGGAGGATGAGGTTCTGGAAGCCAGAAGATAAAAAAATAATAAAAGGCCTAAAGCAAGTATTTTATTACAATTAATGCAATATACTTAGACGTTTGGCTTTCCTATACTAATAATGTAGCTGATATTGTTATATATCTCAGAGAGTTTTGGCTTTTCCCACCAAAACACAAGATGAGCTTTTGAACACTATTCAAATATTCATCTTTGGTTTGGGTAGTAGCCCTTTGAGAGTCTTCCAATTAAAAAGTTACTGATCTATATCATGCCTAGGGCCATTTCAGACTGAAACCAGCAGGTGGTGTGGTGGCTGAAGCGCTGGACTCCCA